CAGATAATTAGCCATATATTCCAACGTTCCAGCAGCAAACTGCAAATTCCGATTGTGTACAGTTGGCTCATTGCTCATTGCTCAAATAAAAATCTCGTCATTGAAACGTTTAGACTTCTTCCGGACTTGCGAGAATTCATCATAAACTCATGTAATTTACTGAATTTCTTGTAACTCTTTCTAACTATCTCTTATAATAACGAAAATCATTTTTCATCGTTTCTCCAGGACTTTCTTTGCATTTGGAAATGTTTGAGAGGATACTTTTCTGACGGTCACTGAAGTTAGTAAATTAAAATTTGTACCTTAAAATGGATCGTTAAGCAAGCATGGATTCTAGTTTTGACTGAGTCTTAAGCCTTAATAAATTTTATAACTATATGAAAAGGATTGGTATCCCTCACGTTCAGACCCATCTCAGCGTATGTCTCCATGCCAGTCCAAGACCACGCACGAACTAGAACGCCAGTTTTCGAGATCTTCTGCATTGAATCGTAATGACCAATTGATAACGCTAATAGATAACTGGACATCGGCGGTGTTTCGCCGAATGAAGTTATTGCCCAACCTTTAATTCACATTCTTACTTCATGTTCTCATTCACCAGTCGATCAAAATGTGACTAAAGTGCTAGTGACGAGGTAAAGTCGTTAAAATGTACCTCAAATGAACACTTATAGATATGTTTCAGGCTCGAGATCAGTCATGCGTTTTCGCTGAGGTTTACTTACTCGCTGAAGCTCAGCATAAGTTCAGTCAGAACTTGAAGTCTCAAGTGTATTACAACCATATTGAGCCTGAACAGAATTCTAGTCCAAGGAGTCATATGTTCCTTTATGACCACAGCGATCACGTGTAGCAATACCAGCAAGAATGCAACGGATTTTATGATTTGTTTATGCAGAGGATGAGGATTTTCCCGATTTTTCGAAAATTTTNCGAGCAGCTTTCGAGCTGAAGCGGATGATTGTCTTACCTGGCTCAGTTTCGTTACGTTCAATGAGAATATCCGTATGAATTGTATTTGTTAAAACCTTCATATCGGCAGCGTGTTTCACTTTAAGTTGCCATTTTGCTTTGAAGAACGGTTCGTCAAAGCATGGCACCAGCGATCGAATGCCGGGACCTGATTCCATGTCCGTTGATAGAATCCATCTGAATTAGGAATATCCACGATAATTAGCAATGTCCGTTGATAGAATCTGACTGAACATCCGAACGACTCACAGAAAGGAATTCGAAGTCCAAACGAAGTCCAAAATTTCCTTTCTTGAATGATTCAACGGAAAAAAAAGTGATGTTGGAGCATTCTCGGGTAAAATGAAATACGAAGCCATAGACTTACGCCATTTTGCCATTGAACTCGTAATAATTGA